GCTTTCCGAATTTTAGCTACTTATAGCTGTTTTCCCGCTAAACTAGCGAGTTTTTCCAAAAGTGGTAGAACAAAAGTTTTTTATATCGATGTGATGAACGTCATATCAAATTTTCAAAACTTAGAAAACATGTTTTGGACAAACTGACAAACTGACAAACTGACAAACTGACAAACTGACAAACTGACAAACTGACAAACTGACAAACTGACAAACTGACAAACTGACAAACAGAATTAAATTTTCATTTTGGGAAGACGAAGAAAATCTTATTTTGGCTATAACTTTTGAACGGAGCGTCGGATTTTGACAAATGACACCTCATTCGACGGGTATTTTCAAAAGGAATACAACTAAAACATTGAGAGGGGGCAATTATCCCCACCGGCCCCAACAGCTCCAAATTTCGAAATATTCACTTTTTTACTTTCACCGCTCTCTCTCCCAAGCCAATTGATTTTCTTAGAGTCTTGGTATGCAATCCTGTTAGTTTTCGCAATACCTTTCGATAGGTGTATCATTCATTATGATCGGACCATCACAGTAGATTTTCATTTCTTCGTGTATATATAGTAGTCGCCTTCGCACACCCTCCTGGTGCGCTTCGTCACTACATGGACTGCCGTCCATAGTGATCGGGTCACCCGGTTTACCTGTCCATCTCCCCAAAAAAACCGTAGAAACCGAAAACCCAAAACCAAATGTCCAAATGTCCGCACAGCCTCACGTGTTGACCGCAAATGTTAAAGCGGCGTGACTTTATTCGATTATATATGAGGGTTGGGGCTCAGCCAGCCGCCGGCTGGGTGGTTACGTAAAAACATTAGGGCCGGATCCGTTTTAGCATAACACCATTGTTGCCCCGAAATGAAATTGAAACCCGCTCCCATTTACCAGGGCAATTGTTTTCCGCTGACCAGAAAGTCGTTGCTGCACTGGAAAATTTTGCTTAGCACTTAGTACCTAAAATGTAATATATTAGATGATTCGATTTTCAAAATGCATTAAATTATATCAGTTGCGGATATATGATTTTGTTGTGGGGGGTGATATCAGAACAATTTTTTTGGTGCATACTTTTCGAATACCAAAATTCCGTTCATTTTTCATCTGAGTGGGGGTGATATATCACCCATATCACCCCCCGTGGATCCGCGCATGTATTATATCTCAAATAAATAATACAAATAATATAAATAATAGTATTTTAGACAATTTAAATAAAACACAATATAATTTATTTTTCTTAACGCAATGTTATGTGAATTTGAAACAATTATCAATAAATTATTATAAATATGTTGAAGAAGTGAAACATAATATTAAAATGTAAATAAAATTATTTATATTGTTTTTGTATGATATAATATATTCAATTTAATAAAAGAGAAGTAATCGTATTAAAATTATTAATAAACTATAAAAAATAAGTGGAGTAAGTTCATATTATTATTTATTTATATTTTATTATTCGTTTGTTGAATAACTTTAATCATTAAATAACTTTAACACATAATAAAGAAGAATTTTTGGTGTGTTATTTTCTGATTTGTATATTAACCCCTGCAACCAATTTTAAAGAATTCCCTGATATTACTTGCCTGATTTTATTTGGATACTTTATTTTAAAACGATTTAAATCGCAGTGCGTTTTGCCCCACAATCAAATGGCAATCGGCAAGCGTTCGCAGAGTGCTGACAGATATCGAGTTGACGAACAAGTTTGGGACAAGTCCTGGAGATTAATTTGCTCTTTAGGCAATGGCAATCCCAATCCACTCCACTCCGCGCTTATCGCCACTCGTTCACTCCCTTAAGGGGAAACTCCCTCTTGCCTTTTGTTGTTTGACAACTCGTTGGCTTGCCTTCCCGTCACACGAGCGCATAATCGTAAAAAGTCTGCAAAATGTCCATAAATGCCGATTAAATCTTTATTTTCCGCCTTGGCGCACGCAGCAGTCACCCAGAATGCCAGAAAGTATATGGCCCCTTGATGAGGGTTGTCCTCGGATATTCGGTTGTTCGGTTATTCGGATATTTGGATATTTGGTTACGCGCTTTCGAGCGCCGCTGACTGTTGACAGACATGTGACAGGCGCGATCGTGCAACCTGATGATTTAATAACTTGCCCCGCAAAACGGATTAGAAATGCCCCCCGGAGGACAATGACCGGAAGGATAACGAAGCGAACGGCGGCTAGTGGTGGTGAATAGTGCTAGAAAAAAAAGGGTACAGCTTGTATTTTGACTCAGTATATGAATTAAATGAAACATTATTTAAAAATTCTAAAATCGTTGATATTTATAATTTTTTTCTAAATTTTCCTATTTTTTTAAAGGTTTTTCCATAAAGATGTAAAGCTTAAAATTTGTGTAAATCATAATTAGGCAATATTTTAAAGGTTATGTATTTAACATAAATGCAGCTTGGGTACTTTTTTGATTCTAAGGATATGGAACCAGCTTAAATTTTTTGTATTATTTTGAGGAATCAAGTTTTTACCAGAATTAATTTTTATTCCTGGGGAAGATCACTTCAAATAGATACAAAAGTGTCTCGTATTTCCCATAATAATGTTTTTTAGTTCCTGCGAATAGATCCTGGTTCAACGAGTCCTTCAACTGAATATCTGGCTATGGGATATCACCATCACTGGTGGTATGGGGGTTGCAAGTTTGCAGATACGGATGCCGCTGCCTCAAAAACTAACCACCCAGGATAACAACGGTGAGACATCGGTGGGCTCTTCGCTTTCAGTTGTTCCTGTTTTTGGTGTTGTTGTTATTCCTATTGTTGTTGTTGTTGTTGGTGTCACCGCAGCGTATCCTTCGTGTGCGTATGTGTGTGTGTGTGCAGCGTGTGTGTGATTGATGACAACTCGAATAAGCGATGATTGATGCTTATTTTACACTTTTCGCTACAACACACGGCGACACATGTTTGTCTGGATGTTTGGGTGCGGTAAGGTGGTATTGGTGTTGGCATTCGTATGTGTATGGGTGTCCCTGTGTGTGTGTGATCCTGGGAGTTTGGGCTAAATGCAGCGTCGGGTGGCGAAACAGCAACGTTCAGAAATATAAAATAAGGTTCTCTAAAAATTTGAAAATTATTTAAAAAAAATACTTAAAATAAATAAAACCAACTTGAAAATATTAATTGATAAAAATTTTTTAAATTATAAAGTTAGGTGGTTTTATTATTCTATTATAATTAATATCTATAAATTTCAAAAACGTAAGACGCCTAAGTTGTGAAGAAAAAATTATTCATTTTTCTTGTTTATTCACGTATTGTTCTTATGGAAGATATTTAATAATTGTATAGGTCTAAAGTTTCGGCAAGCATTGTGCGACAAGAGGATTATTACGAGCACACGTTCCGGCGTCTCCAGACGCCGACGAGCCGCAATCATCAATGTCACCATCACTCCGTCCCACCAACCCGAATCTAGAGTCCTGAATCCTGCATCCTGCAGCCTCCTCATCATCCCTCCCCCGTCGCCTCGTCGGCGGGTGGGAATCGATGTCAGTGTATTAGTAATTGTTTGATTTCACCCGCCTCCTGGAATCCCAGTGCTTGCCTGTGTGTGTGCGTTGCTCCTCCTTGTGGTTTGCTTATTGGTGTTCGGCAATACATCATCGACTGGCTGACATTCAACCCACCACCCATTCCTCATCGACGCCCACGTCCATATCCCATCAGGACGTCTGGCCAGAATCTGGTCGAAAACGATGCCTTTTTGCATACTTACTTTCCTACAGCTGCGGTCTAGATATTAGTAGTAATATTTCGCCAAGATTTGTTTACTAACCTGATCGATTCAGAAGCAATTACAATCAGCGATTATTTAAAATCAATAAAAAGGGCACCTCTAAGTAGGCAGTAAAAAAAGTGTAGTTGTCTTTCTTAGCGAATATATCGAACTCTTTGAACTTTAAATATAGTTGCATAGTTTTCAGAAGGAATTACAATGGAAACATTCTACTCTGAAGATATAAAAAGAAATTTTTAAATTGTTTTTCAAATTAATTAAAAAGGTACCTAAAAGTATGCTTTAAAAACTAACTGTAGTCTTTTCTAGCGAATTTATCGAACTTTTTGAACTTTAAGTATATATGAACTTGCAATGTTTTAGATAAACAATTAATTTATTTCAAACGTCCATAAAAAATGGGTTCAATTTTTTATAAAAAAAATTGTTAATGTAGGTGTTTCAAAAAAATTTAAATAAAATAAGTATTTACGGAACTTTTTAAGAAATTGAAATTATTTTCTTTCAATTACTAGTTATATTGAATACGAAACTTTGTTTTCTAATAGTTTATTGTTTAACTTTTCACTGCAAACCCAAGTCCTATTATTACGACCAGCACTGTGCTCACGCGGGGCCTTTAAGAAATGTAATTTAAAACGCCACACAATGCAGACTCCAAATCTCCTGGCCACTTGGGCCAACTTGTAATTGTTAATTAGAGCTGACAAGGAACAGAGAACCGAGAGTCGACCGGAGGGCTCGTCATAAATTGTGCGAAATGCATAATTCTCCGCTTACCAGGCCAATTGATTAACTTTTGTTCGATGCGCATTGACAGGCAAATACATGGCAAACACACAAGCGCAAACACAGAATGTAGTTATGTTGCATTATTCAATGAAATGTGCTCAACTTGAATTCATGTTGCACTTGGACGTCTGCTGTGTTCAATGGAATCCACAATTATTGCTTATATCTGTCATTGCGAATGCGAGTTTTGTATTTCACCTGGTCATGCAAAATGGCCAGCTTTACTTTTAACCGATGATGACGTGAGTAATGGAAAATTACAACCTAGAAAATTGCTTAAAAACTTAACAAAAACCATATGATGGTTGAGTATTAAAAAAAAAGAGTTTTACATTTAATTAAAAATTGATTAATGACTTAAAGGCTAAAAGGGGCAAAAGAAGCCTCTATTTTAATGGTTTTTGGCACTGTAAATGCGCTCTCTATCACGATTCCCTAGAAATTGTGATTTTCCTCTTGTTCCCGACAATTCACAAAGAAAATGTTTGCAGGTGCTGTACTTGGACGCATTGTCATGCCTCCAAATCCCTGGATAGCAGGCAATATCTAAGGGGGATTTTAATAGTTAATATTAACTAATTTCTGTTTTCTGTTACGTCTGCATTACCCTTCGCGAATGTCTCCGAAATCGCTGTCGATGCACTTGGGCTAACTTTCCGCTGGATAAAAGCGATCGCTTCCGGCGCTGCCAAACCTGAGGAATGGGGTCCATTAATAATTAATTAATATTATTTATATAACTAATTTAATTTTATACAGAATTATTAGCATACATCGAATTTCTAATAGCTCCTTGTTTTCTCAAATAGCTCGATATATATAAATCAATCAAAAACACCTCTTAACGAGATAAAATGTTGTGACGATCGCACCTTAAATACTCAAAAGCTTTGATATCAAATTTTGTGACTTAAAATTATTATTATTAATAATTAACTGATTGTAAATATATATATTTTTAAATATTTGTGTTTATAAAAATTCTTTTTGGTATTTAAAAGTTTTCCTGAAGTTTTTCAGCCTTTTCTAAATTAATAAAAATTTATTTCAATTGATTATAAAAATAAGTTAATTACCAAATTAATGAGAAAATTTGCACTTAATTGCTTTGATTGAATTTTAATAAATTCTTATTTTTTAAATGGTTTTAACACTTTTTTGGTAATTTTATATTCCACACATACTTTCTATTTTTTCTTTTATAGATATTGAAGTGACTTCGCCTCACCTGCATATTTACATCGTATCGAATGCGCTGATCCAGCTGTGATTTTCTGGCCAACAGCTGGTGACAGAGCCACCGGACGCCGCGCTGCAGATCGTCGGCACTGTCCATGTGGCAGATGAGCAGCGGGCAGCCGCAGGACCTGGCCAGCTCCTCCAGCCCGAAGGCATACTCCACGTCATAGAGCTGGACGCCATCGCGATGACGTGAGGCGACCAGGAGCACCGGCTTGCCGGCCAGCTGAGTGCCCCTCAGGCACTGGGTCAGCAGGGCGAACGTGGCCTCCAGTCCCTCCGGATCCGAACCCAGATCGAAACAGTATATGAGGGCGTGCGAGGAGGCGTAATAGTGCCGCCACAGGCGCTGCATCTCCGCATTTCCACCCACTTCGGTCAGCTGGAGTTTCGCTGGCAGTTCTGAAATATCCTGAAATCCTCCGGAAATCTGATAGCAACGCACCCCGTTCGTCGCCTCCTGGTCATCCGAAGCTCGTGGAGATCTGCTCAAGCGGTGTCCCAGCTCCGTTTTGCCACTGCCCGAGGGTCCGAGGAGCAGCACCTGGAATTCCTCCATCGATCGAACACAACAACAGCAGTCGCGCAGCTTGGCGCACAGTAAACCCATCTAGCACAGGGCCATTTTCGTTTGAAGTTTTGTATAATTTCTGGATATAATTTCTGCTTTCACTTTCTCCAACTGCAAGTGCAACTGAAACTCTTTTCGGGTTGTTTATTTACCTGCCATTCGGCGGACAGCTGACTGCGACAGGTAGTTGTCACGGGCAACGTCGGTAAGTTCAATGTTTTGGCCAGTGTTCCGCGGAATGTTGCCTAGACAACCGATCCGTCGAGGGATGGCCCTAACCACCTTCGGCGAGTTCCACGTAAGTGAACCACTTACCTGCTCATTCGGTTCGGGGAGGGTATTCCAATTTTCCGCGGAGCTTTGAATCCACAAAGAATTCTGGCCACTAAAGGAAAACAGAAGTACTTCATAGTTGGAAATACAAAAAATATTTATAATGAAGTTGTAAAAAATATAAAAAAATATAATATCTACAAAAGTATGAAAATACATGTTTATAAAAATTCAAATATATAATAAAAAACACATACCTACACTCGCATAATTCAATTTAAACATATTTCTTTCAATGTACAAAGTAGCAACAGCAATTTTATAATAAAAATTTACTAAATTTTTTTAATTTGAATATTTTTATATTTAAAATGTATAAAGTGAAGGAAAGTCAAAGCGAAAATAATTACATTGGATAAGAAATTAATGGATTTATTGTGGCTTTTTTGTCAGTGTATATATATTTTCATAAATAAATTTTAGTGTTGCATTTTTTATAATTTATTTTTTTCTAAAATAAGAAGGAGTTAAGCTATACAAAATTGGGAAACAAACAATAATTAAATTGAAGAATTCTATATCCTCTTTTTAAAATCCTAGAAAACTGTTAACTCTAATTATGTTAGAATGAAAAATGGGACGTCATCTTCGAAGTTCTGCACGATATTGAAGTTTGAATGAAGAGTTTTATCTCTGTGCTTCCTCTGTTTGCCGCTGGATGGCGCCACTTGTCCCAACAGCGATAAAGGGATTTTTCCCAGGCGCTTTCTATGTTTTTCGCACTCCTAATGGGAACTTTTATTTTTCCCACTTTTCTCAGGTTAGGGGGAATTTATATTTCCCCGCTTAAAGGTACCACCCACTCTGCCCTCAAACATCAATTGTTTGTTTACGCAATCCAAACTTGGCAAGTTATTGATTCGGTTTCATTTCCTGATTGCCAGCGAGCAGAACAAGTGGCCTTTTGCTTTGATAATGGCTAAATAGCCATGGCCCGCTATTTGTGAATATGTGTATAGGCACACTGCACACATAATGTATCTTTGATGAAGCTGCGGTGGCCGTGGCTTTGTGGTTTCCATGGGGCAGAAGGCGGAGAGCAGAAAGGAGTCCTTGATAAACTCGCGCTAATCGCTCCCCATGTGACCGCGTGTTTGGGCCGTGTTTGCCCCACCCAAGTCGAGAGTCCAAAGCCCTTTGTGCTTAGCATTCCATTGCATTATGATGTGGATGTGGATGTGGATGTGAATGTGCCCCGAAACCGTTAAGCACATCTGCCGTGGAGGCCCCGAACCCACCTTTATCCTTTATCCCCCCTCTTCTTGGCCAACAAATTGAAAAGTAAGCAAGCTAAACGTTCGCCGAACTTTGGATGAGGGCGGAAAGTAAGAAAAGGGAGGAAAGTCGTCGTCTGTAGCCTTGAGCCAGTCGCCAGCAATCCTTTTGTGCATCTCCTGTTCGCCAGTACAAAAGGCAAAGGGCGAGCAGCACAGCAAAAAGATCGCGATGCAATGATTTTGTATTTTTCCAAAGAAATTGTATCCATAAATTTGATTGTTCCTTATTTATTTGCGGGTATAATGGATATATGGATTACTGTTTTTAAGAAATAATAAAACAAATTAAGGAAGGTTTTTATAAACGGTGCCTTTACTTGAAATACAAAATCCTAACTCAGGGATTTAAGGATATTTATTTTAAGAACAGATACAAAAAATACAGAAGTCTGCATTTAAACATGTTCTAATATTCATATAATAGAATCGATTTTATTTAGTTTTATTTTAGTTATTTCAGGAAATTGCCATACCTTTAAATTCGCTTTTGATTTTCTTCCAAGTGCACATCTAGTTCATATGAAGACCAAGTTTCTATGCTTATGGCCAAGCCAACGACTGACATTAGTTTTGCATGCCTTCGCCTGCGACCATTTTAATATGCGCATTAATGCGGCACAAAGCGGTGCGAAAAGTGACAACCCGGTAGCTTCGTCCTGCGTTTTGTCAGTCGAGTGGGTGGATGTGGATGTGGATCCATCCGGATGGACAGGTGGCAGGATGGCAGGACACGGGGGCAGATATATGCAAATACGCGGCTGCTGGAGCGGCAGTTGATTGCTTGATGCATGCGCTGCACCCTCACAAATTCCAACGAGCAGCGAGTGGCGCCTCAGGGAGTTTAAATAAGTAAGTTCCTCAGATGTTACTCAGATTGTTAAGGGTTTTAATTCAATTTAAATACAATTTTTCAAGGAGAAAAAAAATATTAAAGAAAAATAGCCACATACTGCGATTCGAACCCAGGACATGCGAGCGAGAATCGAATGTTCTTACCTCTAGGCTACTTAGGTCTATAAAAACTCTGAAAAAATGCTACTACTGCTTTGTATTTTCTTTAAGCAGTTCATAAATTCAAAAAATTAATACATTTTGTATCCTTTTTTTAATGGAAATAAAAATCAAAAATTAGAAACGTTTTTTTCTTAGGGTATAAATGTATGTAAACATTTTAAAAATTTTATATTTTAAAAACTTTTTGTATCCTTTTTTTAATAGAAATAAAAATCAAAAATAAAAAACTTTTTTTCTTAGGGTATAAATGTATGTAAATATTTTTAAAATTTTATATTTTAAAAACTTTTTGTATCCTTTTTTTAATGGAAATAAAAATCAAAAATTAAAAACTTTTTTTCTTAGGGTATACATGTATGTTAATATTTTTAAAATTTTATATTTTAATGAAACATATACGAATTAAAGGCTAGACAATTTCGCTTTAAGCCGATTGCCGGTGGAACAGCCCTCGCATGTTTGGGTTTTGCCAAGCTTAAGTCAAATATTTGCAAGTGGCTGACGCCGCAGGACCTGCCCCAACTCGTTGGCTCCGGTTCGGTACCATTCCATTCAACCGCCAGCAACCCAGCTAAATGAAGCGGCTCGGCGTAATCGCTCCCCGACGCACGCTGGCCATAGACTCCGATTCAGACTCAAAATGAGTTGGTACCGCAGGACCAAGGACCAAGGACTAGGGACCTGGGACCTTCATTCGATTATTTCTGCGCAGCAGCGTCATTCCGTTCGCTGTCCGGTTGCCTTGGTCCTTCGTCCTTATAGCAATCCTCTTTGACTATTCCTAACGCCACATGGCGACATCATATTTCCTTGGACGAGCACCGTACCTGCGTTTCCCTTTTTTTTTTCGACGGCTCAGGCGTTTCCAGCTTTCCCGGCTTTCCCTACTGTTTTTCCCGGCCAGCCGCACTTGTCGAGTCGTTCACCGTGCGGCAAAAGTTTAGCCAGCGGAGAAGCAGCCTCAGCCTCAGCAGCTTGCCTCGGATTTCATTTCCGGCATGTTGCGGCTACGTTAAGTAACGGAGATTGCATCGCTAATGATGCAATTGTGTTTGGCGGAAATGAAAGCGGTTTCGTGTGACGACTTCGCGCGCTTAGCCGGCTCGAACACCTCGCCTTCTATCATCGCCTGTCCATAGATTGCCCCCCCGCCATCCTCCGAGTCCCCATCAAAAACCAATGAAGCCGAAGGAAAACCGAATGAAAAAACTATGTGCCCGCTAATTGCATCTGCTTTGCTTTCGCCCAGCTTGTACAAAAAAAAGAAGAAGAAGCAGATGGAAAGAGCGAACGGAAGTGGTTGTCAAGGAAAGAGAGGAGTGGAAAAAAATGAAGCCGCTCTCGGCGCTTCTCAAACAACCTGCCTTAATGAGCTCTCCATAATTGTTTAATTGGATAAGAAATAGAGTCACGGATGCTTGACACACTTCGCCAGTCTGTCTGTTTCTGAGCAAGAAGAGTACGAAAAACAAGGAAAGTGGAAGCGGGATGGGGAATGGGGAATGCGATGGCATCGATGCCAGACCAACGAATTGGAGCAGCCACCGACCTACTCTGGCCTATTGATTTTTCTACAATTTTCAGACGTAGACACCTCTCGAGCACTTTTCCCCCGATTTGCAGCCAGATATGCCCATCCAGGCTGAATGCCATACCAACTACATTACAACTAAAAAATCTCTGTTTAATTTTTCCAATAACGTTTTCGAAATGAAAAAAAAAAGGTAAGGAATACCAAAATATTTTTTTTGTTTTTTTTTTTTCGGTTCACATTTTACTTATATTATACTTTATTATACTTTGCATTCCTTTCCAATGAATTTTAGGCACAAATGTGTTGGTATTTACATGTTAGTGTTAGGGATTCTCGTCTGTTTGTGTGCCATGCTTCTTTGAACTTACCGGGATTCGAACCCGGACCGGTGGTTTTCGATGTTCTAGCTGAGAAGCCTATCCCTCTACTCACTCAGCTACCACCGGCGGCGAGATGACAGCGTCTAGGGGTAAACTTAAACCCCACCTACTGGGTTTTTTGGTGAAAGGTTTTCTCTCTTATAATTCCCAAGTTGTTATTCCCAGCAGGCTACTTCGATTGTGGGTTCTACGCTTATCGATATATCGATATGGGTTTAGTGTTGATCATCGAACGAATCGAAGCAACCACTGACTTACCATTCGACGGATTTCCCTATAATTTTCTACACCTCACGAACACTTTCCCTCTGATTCGGAACCAGATATTCCCAGCCCGGCTGAATGCCGAACCAGTAAGACATTATACGGATAGGATGAGGTGAGTTGGAATTTGGAGCCCTGTAAGGGAGTAAAGCTATGAATTTTCACAGTAGGAGCAGAGGGAAAACCGGTCCGAATGGGTCTGTGGATTGCAACACGAGGTAAGAAAATCTTTCAAAGTAGTTTTTTCCCAGATTTTTTTAAGAAATCCATAATAATTTCAGAAGCCCCAGAAATATCCAGATGCCGCGCTGTCCCTCTCGAGGTGCCGATTTGGTTAGCACTCCCGAGCATCTGCGACCGGGATTTCGTGGACGGACCCATCGATACGATCCTAGCGATTTCGGGCTGACGGGAAATGAGGAATGGCGGCATCCACGGATGTTCAGGGATATGACCTGTTAGTATTTTGGGAATTTAATTAGACATTCATTTTAAAGTCAGTAATATTTTATATTCTATATGTATATATATAATTTAAATATTTCATTTATAATAGTATTGATAGAAATTGTTTCTTATTATTTAATTTTTTTAATTGTTTTTCTAAAATTTATTGTTTGATTTTGTATTATATTTTTTAGGTTTTCGAAATGGTAATAAATTTAAATATATATATGTCTTAATTCCCTGTCTAAATATTAATATGTCTTATATTAATAATAATCAGATTTCTTAATTGCCATTAGCTAATGGGAATTTTGTAACTAATAGACTTTGTTTGACTTTAAACCATTAACATGTTAAAATAATACAAAAATAAGTATATTAGGTGTACCCATAAGCTTTAATATTTGTTTTGAACTAATCCTACTTATTCCTACATTTCCCTGAATCCACAGACGAGACAGATGCTGCGGCCATGGAAACCTTCCGCCAGGCTCAACCACGTCGTCAGCCCTACGAAACGGGGATAAACCTGAGCAATTTGCCGGAGGAGTGCCTGGCGGATATGTCGGCGCCTGGCTTCGATCTCAGCCTGCCATCGCAGATGTCCGATTTGCGGGGCGAGCAACTCGACGATGTATCGGCCCCCAACTTGTGCGATGCCTCAAATGTGTCGAAGACCACCAGCCACGTGGACAATGTGTATGGCGAGATTCTGGATCGCTTTAGGAGCATCAGGGAACGTATTAATCGGGCCAACCAGCTGCACGGATCGGAGGATCCCTGCTATCAGCAGGTAAGCCCCATTGAGTTCCAGGGGATTTTCTTAATGGCATACCTAATCCAAAGACCACGCGACGAAGGATCTACACCCATCGCGATCCCAGTGGTCACATCACCAGCCACGTGGTCGAGACGACTGTCTCGAATACTTCCTCGCTGGATTGCACGCCCGCCGGTGAGGCTGGTGAACCGGGACGACGGCTCAACTTCTCCTTGCCAAACCGATCGGAGCAGCTAATGGATGAGTCAATGCCCCCGTATCTCGAATGCCCGGAGGTGGTGTCCTCTCAGGATATTCTGGATAACGAGACAATGCCCGCTTTCGAATCCACAGCGAGGAGTCAGAATATGAGTCTTCGTTCCTGTCTGGAGAACGAGACAATGCCGTCGTTTGCAAATATCTCTGGAGTGTCACGAAGACAGCGGACAATGCCCAGCGAATGCCTAGACGATGTGAGCCAGCCCTCGTTCGCAAGGAGTAGATCGAGTAGATCGGGTAGGCTGAGCAGATCTCGCAGACAGAGTCCCAGAAGGCAGCTTCAGAACCTTTGGGACACATCAGCCAGGAACGCGACTACCAATGAATGCCTGGAGGACATTTCAATGCCCGCCCTTGAGGGCGTCTCGAATGTTTCCAGGAGCAGAGGTCAGAGATCCAGGATCCAGAATATATCTTCAAGGCGCGAATGCTTGGATGACATGACCATGCCCTCGTTTGGTGGAGTATCCAACTTGTCGACGAACCAAAGTCGCCGCCAACTGCAAAGATCGATGTCAACGCAAAACATTAACGATACTTCCGAGCCCATGTATGCGAGTTTTTCAAGAGGACCCATGACTAATGAATGCCTAGAGGAAGTCACCATGCCATCACTCGTTGAAACATCGTCTAGACGACCGCGATCCGTGGGAATGCCCAACGAATGTCTGGAGGATATGACAATGCCCTCATTTGGTGGCGTTTCGAGAGCCTCGAGAAGCAGAAGTCTGGATCGTCAGCACAACAACAAATCCATGCCAACGCGAATGACGAACGAGTGTTTGGATGATATGACCATGCCGTCGTTTGGTGGCGTTTCAGGCTCCTCCCGAAGGCAAATGACCATTCCGAGTGAGGTGAGTTCCCGAGGAACGAGTCGAAGGCAGAGGACTGTGCCTTCTGCGTTCGCCAACTCCACCAAATACGGGGACACTCTACCGAATGAGTGCCTGGAGGATGTGTCGATGCCATCTTTTGGCGGAGTTTCGGGGGCGTCGCGGAGGAAGGGATCCCGACGAAAGCAGATGACGCTACCCTCGCAAAATATAGGTGATATTTCGGCTCCCTCGTTCGCAAGCTCGGGCAGGGGCAATACGACCAATGAATGCTTGGAGGACATATCGATGCCTTCGTTTGGCGGAGTGTCCACCAATTCCAGGAGCAGAAGTCGAAGAGGCCAAAAGACTTCAAGACGTCGTTCGGTGACCAAAGAGTGTCTGGATGACATGACAATGCCCTCGATGGGTGGAGTATCTGTATCTGTTCCATCGCGAAGACCAATGACCCTGCCCAGTGAGTGCCTGGACGATGTGAGTGCCCCGTCCTTTGGAAGAAGCCTGTCGCGAGGTGACGCCAGTAGAAGGCAGCAGCAGATCCCATGTGCCAGCTCCACCAGATGTCCGCCGACGAACGAGTGTTTGGAGGACGTGACGATGCCATCATTTGGTCATATCTCCGCGGCCTCCGTCCGCCGACAGTTGACGATGCCCAGTGAGTGTCTGGAGGACATGAGTGGGGTCTCTGGTCCCTCCAGAAGACGACAGACCACTGGCTTACCCAACGAGTGCCTCGATGACGTGAGCATGCCCACCTTCGGCAACATCTCCGGAATATCTGCATATGGGAAAAGTAGATCGGTTGAACGATCTAAGCAGAACTTGAGCAGAAGTCAGGCTGCCAATGAGTGCTTGGAGGATGTAACAATGCCTTCCTTTGGTGGAGTATCAGGTGTTTCCAGGAGGAAAAGTATCTCACGACATCAGAGATCCGTGCCACCAGTGAGTACTAATAATGAATGTCTAGAGGATGTGACAATGCCTTCGTATGAAGGAGCATCGCGAGCATCCAGAGTTAGAAGTCCACGGCAAAGAGCGATGACAAGCGAATGTCTGGATGACGAGACAATGCCATCCTTCGGAGATGTTTCGCAGCCCTCGGGTCGAAGGACTCCCAGAAGACAGACCCAGAATATTAGCGGACCGAAATTCGATACCAATGAATGTATCGAGGACATTTCGATGCCTTCGTATGCTGAAAATTCACGAGCCTCGCGGGCAAAGAGCTCTTCGAGGTTACAAAGGTCGCGACAAGGAGCGATGACCAACGAATGTCTGGATGAGGTGACAATGCCATCGTTTGGTCAGGCCTCAAGTCGAGGTCCACTGACAAGCGAATGTCTCGAGGAAATTTCAATGCCTTCGTACAGGGAGAATTCAAGATCGTTTCAGCGAAGATGCCCCACTCCAAAGCAAAGCTCAAGACAAGAGTGCTTGGATGATGTGACCATGCCATCATTTGGAAGCTCAAGACGCGGACTGACCACCAATGAATGCCTCGAGGACATTTCCATGCCAGCGTATGGAGAACCCACCGGATCGTCCAGGGGAAGAAGTCAAATGCATAGCTTCAGACAAGGAACGATGACCAATGAGTGCTTGAATGACATGACCATGCCATCATATGCCACTTCGTACCGAGGACCTGTTACTAACGAGTGCCTCGAGGACATTTCAATGCCTTCATACAGGTCGTCGAGGGGAAAAAGTCCAAGGCGAAGATCCAGACAGCGTTTGGATGACATGACGATGCCATCATTTGGTATGAATGCCGATGAATGCCTAGAGGACATGTCAATGCCTTCGTATGGTGGAAATTCCGGATTGTCCAGGGGAATGCAAAGATCCATGACGATGGAATGCTTGGAGGATATGACGATGCCACCCTATGGTGGCGATTCGGAATCATCCAGAGGAAGAAGCCCCAGATTTGAAGCGATGACCAATGAATGCTTGGATGACATGACCATGCCGAGCCATGAGGATTCGGGATCTGTTCGAGGCAGAACTCCGAAGCAAATCCAAATATTCCAGGGAGCAATGACCAATGAATGCTTGGATAACATGACCATGCCATCGTTTGGAACTTCCAGCCGCCATCGCGATACAAACGAATGCCTCGCGGACATCTCGATGCCTTCGTATGGAAGAAATACCATCTCCTTCCCGGGCAGAAGCCCCGCCACCCCAAGGCAAAGATCCAGACAGGAAATGATGACAAACGAGTGCTTGGATGACATGACCATGCCATCGTATGGCGAAGTATTTGGTTTATCCCGCCGCCAGATGAGTCTGCCAAGTGAGCGATTGAACGACGTCAGTGAACCCTCCTTCGCAAGGAGCACTTCCGAGGCCACCAGTCGGAGGCAGAGAAACTCCAGCAGAAGCCCCAGGCCGCCACCGCCGCAAAATTCGGTGACGAATGAGTGCCTGGAGGATATGACAATGCCAACATTCGGCGACATCTCTGGGTCATCGCGACGTGGCCAAGTCGGCATGAACAGCACTCGCCTGGAGGACATCAGCATGCCCTCGGGCCTATCGAATCGCAGCCAGTGCACCGAGGATAATGCGAGTGGAGGACGTCGCCTCGAGGATGCGAGTGCTCCCAGTCGAATGACCTCAAGACGCTATCCCCAGTTGACAAACGAGTGTTTGGAGGATGTTTCCATGCCGCCGGATGAATCATTTGGCAGGAACGATTCGAAACCAATAGCGCGACGTCCGGCAGACATTTCCTATCCCTCGGAAATGTTGGCCAACGAGAGTGCTCCCTCGTATCACTCACGACGGGATGAAGCCGACAAGTCGGCCGACTGTTCGTGCTCATCGCCTCAGCAGAGCTCCAGAGGTCGTAGTACAGGTCGTTTGGAGGATGTGACCATGCCCACCTTCGACGACGTTTCCTATCAACCGCGTCGCCATCAGCTGACCATGCCCTGCGAGAACCTGGACGATCAGACCCAGCCGGACTTCTTCAACTCCACGGCATTGCCCAGTTCTACGAGGGCCGAGGGGAAGCACCAGGGGAAGTCGCAAAAGAACCTGGCCGACGAGAGTGCCCCATCCATACTGAAGGACTCCTCAAAGGGACCTTCCGAAGTGGTCAAGGAGGTGACCGTTCAAAGCTCGACCACCTCGGTGACGCGGGTCTTCAACAGCTCGGCCGAAACGAATGCCAACAACTCGGGACAGCCCATGATCGAGGACCTCTCGATGCCGCAGTTCGAGTCCACGGGCACTAGTCAGGCCCATCAGGATTCATCCCTGCACGGCTTTCAGTCCATGGACAACTACAGGCCATTCGATGAGCTGATATACAGTCAGAACTCGGTGGGAAATCAAACTCAGCCCCAGACGCCGCAGCCAGTGAGGTCTGCGAACCGCAGTCGAAGTGTGCGAAGAACCCCAAGCACTTCTACCAATCGGGCGGGGACTCCATCCAGTGCAACCGGAATTCCGGGACAACCTTGCGATATGATTACCACCAACTATCCCTATGGAAAACCCCATTGCTTCAGCCGAAAACCCTGCTAGATGAATGATATATATATATGTAAATTGGTTTTAAAACGGCCTGGTGGTATTTTTTATACATTACTTTTTAGAGGGAAATACAATTTATAAGAAACGGTAAAAGAAAGAGATTTTACTAATTGATGCGACTATTTAAATTCACGTTTCATGTGAAAGCCATAAATATCAGGGAGAAACAAAGAAATATGAATTATGATTGCGAATTTCCAAAAATGTGTGTTCAACCATTTACGCCATATTGAGACAATTTCCGCGAAAAACGCAAAAAAAAGATAGAAACACCGGGCACATACATACATATATTTCTACAAAATTGGTAACAAATAGGTTCAGGAATCGGGGAGGAAGCTTCCAGCGGAAGCGCGTTCATTGCTGGCTTTTGTCAGCCTTTGGCCTTCTGTTGTTTCTCCCATGCTCATTTCCTTTGTTGCCTTGTTGTTTCTGTTTCTGTTTCTGGCGTTTCTGGCGCTGTTAAGAGGGAAATATAGGGGCTACATAGGGTAAATAAGGGGTACCAGTATCTGTATCTGTGGCAGACACCCGACGAGCGTGTCGAGCGATGCGAGCTATTTAAAAACAATTTATTTTTAGCAAGTGAAGCGCCACGAGCGAAACAACCTGTCGACCCACTGCATACCCACCCATCAAATCCGTACATGGAAAGAAATTGGCGAAGAATGTTAGAATGAAGAATTTCCGATTGAGAAAATGGCCCTACAAAATTGTTGGCGCCCAACGAGGGACTTCCCAACTATAATAAAAATGAGGTAGAAAAATAGTGATGATTGAAAATTATAATACATTTTTAGGGAAACTGAAAGAATCAATGATTTTTTGACATGAAATATTTCCTCCCCATTTAAGGTGTTCATTTTTTTCAGTGCTCCCTTGCATCCTGCGTCCCCTCCATTCCGCTCTTGTGACTGCGACGTTGATTTCGGTTTGAAAAATCGAGCGTAGCCCGACAAATGTCGGCGAGGTCGGTTAGGAAGGTGCCGGAGGTATAGAGGTATGCAAAACAAGAAGTGCAGATGCTTCAGATTGGTTTTCCAATTACTCAACATTTCAATGCAAATAGCGCAGGGGCGAAACGGGGTGCCAAGCGACGGGGGGCGCACAAGAGTGTATAGTCGGGAGAAAGATGGCGACGTAACGGTTAACGCCGCAGTGGGTAACCCGTTGAAGAATTGAATTGGCAACACACACACACACATTGCCATCTCCATCCCTATCGCCATCCCCATCAACATCCACATCCACATCCACATCCAAATCCCCGTTTGTGAGCGGCGGTTGAGATTGCGGCTGAGATGCGAGATGCGAGTTGTGGGGGCGGTGACCCGGCTCACGGCTCACGGCTCACAGCTGGGGCTAAATATATCTTTCGATTTCATGTCAGAGATAAAATTTCAATCACGTTTACTTCACTTTCACTTGGCCGTTTCCACCGCCCACTGACCCACTCAATCAGAGCCCGATTCAGAGCCGGGAAAGCGCACTGAAAAGTCCGAGAGCCTGAGTTATTGCCGGCCAGGTATTGCCAAACTAACACCTAGGGTATTTGTTTTTAATTTGCAGATATTAATTTCTCAATATTTGATATCCTTCTGTGTTGGGTTGCTGGCAAAAGCGCAGGATATAAATTGATTTAAATTATTAAGTTAAATAATAACTAATGTAGAATATATAATTTTAGTCGACTCAATCTCCTATTTGTATAAATATCATTAGCTGTTGATCAACATTGGCCGTTCAAACTTTTACAATCACATTACACTTTCCAACACTGTTAATATCCTGTTCTGGCGGACTTTTCAAACAATGCAACCATTTGTCAACACTGAAGTGGTCGCGCAGAGAGGTGAGTGGGTGGTGGGTGGCGGATCTAAATCTTGATTTTCATTTCCATTTTCCATCATCATGGGGAGGAGGAGGGAAAGGGACGAATGCTTCACACGTAGCAGCCACTTAAAAGTTGAAAATTACAATTTACAGTTTTAGCCCCCCAAAGACTCGTTTACCCACACACCATCCGCATACATGCATACATATTTAGTTTATTTTCTTTCTTTTTTTTCAGTTACCATTCAAGTGGCAGTTAAAATGGCTTCAGCCTCAATTGCTGGCATCCTGGTGGCGTTTCGCCGCTTGCGTCCACCGTTTTACCATTCTACCATCCTGTCCTCATACCATCCAACCGTTTCGCCATCAGGAGGACCAGCATCCAACATCCTATGGCCAACATCCTACATATAACATCCAACATCCAACAGCCAGCGACCCGCTGCATTAGGAAAGTTGACGCTGTTGATGCTGTGAGCGATTTATTGTTTTTGTGTAGAAAGCGTAAAATGGAACAAATTTCCCCATTCCCACCCACAATTTCACCACCCCCTTTTCGCGAGGCCCGCACACACACACACTACTCTACTACTTTCACACGCCAGTGATGCCGACGACCCATTTCAAAAACAGGACAAATCGAATCGAACAAGATGGCCAAAAAGGACAACAAAAGACAACCGGGCTTGAATGAAAACTCTGATGTCTAATCAGATTGCCCAAAAAGGTAATTAATTTTTATTCAGATTAGAAAGCAATTTAAGTAAAAAGCTTTTCGTGATTGAGACAAAACTTTAAAGCTAACGAATTAAAGTATTATCTTCTTTATTTGCATAATGCAGTTGTAGATATTAAAATTTTAGTTTTTGTGCATTGCACTTTCACCTTTTAGTCGCTTCTGAACAAACTGGTATTCAGTTTATTTTAAGCCTCCAATGGATTCCATTTTTCTTGAGTAAAATCTTAAAAATAGGAATTAAATATAGGAAAAAATGGATAGTATAATCATTCAATTAAAAATAAAGAAATCAATTAAAAAGGTGTCTGAAAGTATGCAACAATATATTTTAGGTCCGAACTTTACTGCATACTTTTGAGCACCCTTATGGGCGATTTGAAAACCCTAGTGCCTTCGAAAAATCGTCATCACTTTTTCGCACTCACACACACACACACCAAGTGTTTGCCTGTGAGTGTGGTTGCATACTTTTAGGCTGCAACTGCAACTGCTGCTCTTGGTTTTCGCGTCCTGCCAGCCCCCCTTCCTTAACCAACCCCTCCTGCCGACACCCCTTATGCCCATTCGAGGCTAGGCAGTTAATTGTAATTCTGCAAAAATGCTGTCAAAGTTATGCGAGTGCGAAAATGTCCACGGGCAAGAGGCAGATGGTGGTTTTGGTTTCGCCAGTGGAGGGGCGCGAGTAGCGATAGGGGTGGGAGGGGGGAAAACTATGGGGGCGGTGGACAACAGAACAGCAGTCGACCAAACCCGCATTCGAGTGGATCGCAGTTTGTTTCAAAATTGCATTTTAAAGCCAGTCGGCTGGACTTAAAGCCAGCGGCATCGATTGGCCATGGGCTAGAATTCCGGAAGTGGCCTAAATCTGGACCAGCTGGGTTCGTTAATCGTTTACGGTTTGCCAGCTCGAATTTTTTCAACTTTCTGTCCATTCTGGCCTGGTGAAAAGTTTTTCTTTTTCTTTTTGTTTTATTTTATTGTCTTTGCAGAAGTGTTCAATTTGAGAGCATACATTTTTAAAAGTTGTAGAAAACGGCTATCACATAATATTTTGTGTATTTTTCTTGTGAAAGTATTTTTTTTAAATGAAATAAATAAATATATTTTTAAAGATTGTAATAGTACTTTTACTTTTTACTTTTTTTAGACTTTTATATCCAACCATTTCTTCTGCTTGTTGATCTTTTGAACTATATTATTATTAAATACATTATTGACACTTATTTTTACTAATTTTCAGCTTTCTAACATTGAATGGACTTACACTTACAGTGCCCAATTTATTATTGATCTTTTACCTTATCTTTTACCTTTCTCCTACTATTCTCTAAAATTAGATTTGTCATTAGCATTTGTTTTGCTAAAATTTTGCTGGGAAACTTTCACGCCTTCTATTCTTGATTAAATCTACAGCATCAGTGAATAACTTTGTTTGTTTGATATAGAGGGCCACTAGAAATGTTATGATTTTCAAAAAGGGAACTACATACTAACTTATATCTATCTTTGTAATTCGAATGATTAAATGGAGTAAAGGTTCTTGTTTGACTTTGCAAAGCTAAATTTAATTATGACTAATTAGGTAGGACTTTTATTTAAAATGTAATAAATTATTTTATCATTAAAATTCTGCCTAATTACTTTATAGTTACAAAAGATAAAAAAATAAATATAATTTCCAAAAAAGAATTACTCAAAGTTTCCATTAATTATTAAGACCACCGAATGCTTGCTTTGGCCCACTTTTACCCCTGACAGATTCCCAGTTTTCTTAGGTAAACCCAAGCCAAGCCATCACCCTCTGCACACCATCCATGATTTATCCGTTGACGTTTGTCGAATTTGGCAAATCAGTGCCGGAACTTTCGCAAATGCTAAAAGCAATATTCACACGCTCATAATTTACAATCGCAAAGTTTCATCTGCCATTTGGTTGGCTTTCCGTATATCTACATACCATGCATATATATTTTTTCGCCCCCATACGGGAAGGAAATTATTACTTACATCAAAGATTTGCATACATCGTCTTAGTGGGTTAGGCAACGGCAAATTTGTCCCTGCCAGGAGAACCAGAAGAACCAGGAAAAGCTGGAGAATCTGGAGAGGCGGGAAGGTCGAAGGAAAGAATGGGATTGTGCGGCAAGTGAAGGAAGAAGTTAAGTAAAAGAATTCGAAGGGAAAACTTTGCCTTCAATGAAATGAAATAAAATTGCATTACAACGGCACAAACGGGGGTGGTGAAAGGGGATGAAAGGGGATTGGGGTTCCTTTGCGACGTGTGTGAAAAACTTTCGCCTTGCTCCCATTTTTATTCCTGCCAATGGGCAAAGTAAAGTCAAGTCAAGTCAATGAACGACACACTCGCACACTCACTTGGACGCACATAAATTTGTTTAACCCGCACATGTGTCAAAGTTCTGAAGCTCCCCGAACCCCCAACCTCCTGGCCTTTTTTAACCCAATTTCCGCAATTAAGTTTATAT